GGGGCCATATTGGAACACCCTGTGTATTACCCATGCAGTACACCCATAGCATGTGGTAGGAGGCTGGAAGATTCATCGTTTTGTGAGTGGAAATCTACTTTTTATACCTATTACCAATAAAATTACTGGTTGCACTATGGAGGGTCTCTGCTTGTGTCTTACTATGACCCTGGGAGGAGCTGGCTGCTAAACTGGTGGACGCTGGAGGAGGAAGATATTTTCTAGAGAGTGATCCATACTGATAGGATCGTGTGATCCTGAAAGCGTGCTGGCCCCTTGGGGTCTAAGGAAGGAGGTGAGGGGGCATTTTGGCTGTTAAGGATTGTCACGTGTGTATCACGTACACTGCACATAATTTTGCGTGAAGAGTGGAGTGTGAAGTTCATCATTAAGCACAGCATCATCAGTATTATTATTATTAACTTTGGACTTTTCTCGTATTTAAACTATCGTTTATTCCTTTGTGCACTTTTTTTGTGTGGCACTGTTTATTATTAGTATATATGTTATTACAGTATATATTACTTTATTTTCACGTTTTTGCACGAGATATTCCCCATGAGGGAATACATGCATGACACTGTATATGTATTGAGTATCTTGGATTTATTTTGGGGATTGAGTATATATTGTATTACGGTTCTATTAGATACTAATTAGCGCTGCACTCATAATTTTTGCACTGTTTATTCACTTATTTTGGGTATAAGCTTAGTGTCAGCAGCTTATGGTTATAGGGTAGGAGTCCTTGTGAGTGCAGGAGGTTTTTTGTAATTATCTTAGGATACAGACAATAGCAACACACAGGAGCTCAGACAACTAGGAAGTTGCTCAGGCAAAGTGGGCTAGGCTGAGCATGTCTTATATAGTAGGAGGCGGGCCAGGAAGTGATGGAAGGGAAGGAAATAAAACCCAGAGGATAGCAGACGACGCCCATAGGTGAGCACAGACAAACCACACATGTGAAAGGAATCAGGAGCAACAAGGAGGTAAGAATAAACAAATAAGAGGCTAACTTGTAACTTCCAAAGTGAATGTTAGCAAATAAGGTAACGCTGTCTTCACTTTAGATACCCAATCATGTGCGACGTCAATTATAAACACACAGGATTTTTTTCTAGCACCTGATTGGGTGTTCAAAGTGAACATAGTATGAGCTTAGTCATTACCTTTCACTTTGCAAAGTAAATATTCACTTGCTAGGCGAACAGCCTTTATTCCTTTAGTAAATGTATCCCACAGTATCCAAAGCATTGTACTACTTTATATTTTATATGCACAAATGAAGAGTTAATAACACTGGCTCTAATAGCACAACTTGTTTTTTTTATTTTATTTATTTACCAAGGCTGGTGACAAAAGGGAGGTCATTATTCATGTGTACTGAGGGCACCCTGACCTTAAATGCATCCCTGAGTATGTTGTTAAGAAACATTTTAGCAAAATAAATCAAATTAATTCTTATGACTAGAATGAATAAAATAAGATAGAAAACAGAATTTTAAAAATGACCTGTGTTTAAAGTGTAAGTCCTGGTATTTTGGTGCTAGGGACATTCCTTCACAAAACAAACATCATAAGTAAGTATAAAACCCTAGAGTTGCTAGTAGTGACAATGCGACACTACAAAAATGCAGTGTGACTTTGCATTTAACATTGTCTGGCTTCCCTAAAACTAGCTCTGCTTGTATCTTGTAATATAAAGCTATAACATCTGTGTCTAAGTGAGCTGATCTGGAAACATATTGAGACATACGTCTGTGTCATTATTGATTTTGATGTGGTTCATTCTTCCAGTATGAACTGCAGAATGTATCCACTCATGTAAACATACATAAATCCTCTTTTAAAGCCAATCCTCTCAATGAATTAAATAACGAATTGCCATAACTGCTAATCACTGTTAACTGTATTCTGAATTAACAGGATTCCGGCAGGATGATTTACACAGCTATTTGCTGCCAAAGAAGAAAAGCCATATTAAGTGGAATAAGAAGTGACAATACTGTTCAGTGTGGCGACGATGATAAATGTCCAGACCAAGTAATTAGCATACATGACAGCAAAGAATGCTGATCTTTCCATTGTTACAAAAAACGGAGCATTTGAAACTTTCCTCTAAGAATTTATGAAATGTCATAGGCACTTAAATGAGACCAGAACACATTGTCACCTTATCCCACCATTCTCTGCTGCCATTCTAAGTTATCTAAATTGAATTGTGCTTGCAAGAACAGTTAGTGAACATCTCCAGAGTGTTGTGAAACCGGAAGAGAGAGTTAGAAGGTATGAGTGTTAAACATTTATTGGAAAATAATTACTGAAAATTCCTTTGAAAGGCTTTTTATTAGAGATGAGCAAACCAATATGTGTAATGGATCAGGTTGCTTAGATTGAGTTGGATGCCTGCGTATAATGAGCAATCCACCTCCAAAATTTGGCTACCGCATGTATCATTTGTGACATTGGCAGTCCTCCCTATAATCCTTAACATCCCAACTGACCAGTCTGCTGCAGACAATGAACAGGAATATTGTGCATTGAAACCTTGCTTTCTCTCAAAACATTTTATGAGTTGATATCCAGGTAAAAGGGAGGGTGAAGCCAATGGTAAGGAAGGCTGGTAACCCAGAAATTGCTAAATGTAATTTACGAGGTGGGCAGCAGTCAGTTTTTTTTTTAAAGAAATAGAAAAGGCAGCATTTACACATTTCCTGGAAGGGTGGCAGCTGCTGACTAACTATTCTGGTCTGAAGCATAGACAGGATACCTCCAGCAAAAACATTCATGGCAAATATCAACATACATAAAAGGAAAAACAGTGACTATAAAGAAAGTGATTAAAGGGCAAAAGTCTTCTATTGATGAAGTCACAACACACCAAGAGGAAATAAGCAGAAGGAGCAGATGATACATTCATCAAAAAGGTACTATTAGACTATTTATAGTGCTAGACCGGAAGTGCGAGGAGAAGACCAGCAAAAGGTTTTTTTGAAGGCAATGTCTGCTGGTATGTAGGCATCCTAGTATATTAGCCAGTGTAGGATGGTGCGAGATAGACTGTTGCTGTAACTTTCTGACAGTTCTATATGTGTTTACTGAATGTGGATTCAAAATTATTAAAATTATTTTTGCACATGTGATCCCTAAATGCCTCAGTTCACTTTTTCTACTTCAAGTCCTCCTGTACTATTGCATTTTGACACCTTTTAGCATAGAAAAACAATTGTATGATACACTGTCACATTGCAGTTAATCTTACAGGCAATCATACTAAGAAGTCTGAGTCACATGGTTCAAAAAAGGCATCTTAACAGACCCTATTCCATTTATCTACTGTACCTGTAATTCTCATCTTAGTAAAAACATCCAATTCCAATTTGTATTGTAGCAATAGTTTTCACAAAGTATCATTAATGACAAAATTTCTGAAATGATACCACTATTTTAATTTGGCCCTACTTCTCCAAAGCTCCACCAATTTGAATTTTACTGTGTTTGTTGTGACCTAAAACATTTGTCTTACTTTGTCTTGTAAACAAAAAGAATGAGATTAGGCCATTCATGAACACTCTGGTAGCTTGTACTGTGAAGAAATTGATTCTCAAAGATCACAACAAAGACTCTAAAGATGGGTTTCTAGCAGCTTTACATTAGAGGACTGACAGGCTGCCAAGATTCTGCGGTATAGCAAAAGAGCTGAGAATTCAGGGCCTCCCTTGTGAACCTTGAAAACTGATTTCTCCCAAATGCCTATAGCTACAGAGAGAGCTTGTTTTAAAGTGTTCCTACTGCTTGTTCAGAATATGTAAATACTTCAGTGTGTATAGTCTTAGCTAAGGTTCACTAAAGATTTTAAATATTTTATGAGGGAAGGCAAGAAGGCTTCTCTAGTGTAGAGCTTGGGTTCTGATTTGCTCATTCTACACCACAAACAAGCTTTTTATACTCAGAGCTCAAAAGACATTCACAATTTCTGCATATTGTGGCAAATTTCAGGTGAAAGTTGTAATAAACACCATACCCTCCTTTCTAGTTTTACATTGTACAAATAGCTCTCCCTTCTCTATCTTAAGCAAGGTGTCAGAGCCTGGAATCGAACCTGGGCCTTCTGCGGTGAGAGACAGTGTTTCTTCTCACTGAGCCACCTGGAATGCTGGACAGCTCCCTTGACAATTCTTTGGATGATCCTGCCTTTTTCCCTGTTTTGTCTTGAACCTTGAACTCCTTGCTCCTCCCATGAACTTCCTATAAAAGCCATGTCTCTGCACTTCCTGGTTGCCAGATTATTGTGCCTTACCAGCCAATATCCCGCTTACTGTTCCTGCTGCTGTCTTCATCTACGTTAACGACCTTCGGCTTCATACAGACTACGATTCTGCCTCATCCTATCTACTACCATTGGTGACCGACCCTTGGCTTGTGACTGACTCCGCTTCTGTTTGATCCCTGAACTGTTTGATCCGCTTTTTGGTTTCCAGCCTACTCATTCCCTGGTGGGGTGATCCTGAGATCTGCGACCTGGCATTCACACACAGCCAAATCCATCTCCACCATTAGGAGCTCTGGGGAAGACCGGTGGATGCTTAGACCCCGCACCTCAGGTGAGCCTGCGTTATTCCCAGGGTGGGCCGCTGGTGTACCAATCCTGCTGGTTTCAGTAAGCCTTACAACTGCTGTAGCAACTGGTCTCTGAACCTGACCTTCTATCGTGACAGAATAATCTGGCCCAAACATGGAGGCCGCTATAGCAAATGTTGTAAATCCTCTTAGGCAACAAATTGCTGAGCTGCAGGAATTTGGGGTTACCCATCAGGAAAAAGTTGCCAAACTGGAAAGCATTGTGGATAGGCAACAGGGAGAGAGTCAGGCTCTGCAGAGGCAACTGCTGAACCGTGATGATCCTAGCTCACATATGCCCCCAGCCCCAACCATCTAAGTTTAATGGAGACCGCCGCCTATACAGGGGTTTCCTTAATCAATGTTGTGTATATTTCCAAATGTACCCTGCTGCGTTTCCTTCAGAGAAAAAGAAGGTAATGTTTATTATTGGGCTTCTTACTGGGGAAGCTTTAGCTTGGGCCTCCCCTTATATAGAGCAAAACCGTGGCATTCTAAATAATTTTGATACCTTTTTGACCGCGATGAATCAGGTTTTTGATGATCCCAACCGTTGTGCTTCTGCCGAAGCAAAATTACATAGTCTAAGGCAGGGTAGACGCTCGGTCGCTGAATACACAGCCGAGTTCAGAAGTTGGGTTGCAGATACCACTTGGAACCCTGCAGCACAAAAGAGCCAGTTCCGCCAAGGGCTTTCTGAACAGGTTGAGCTTGCCAGAGGTGATACTCCTAATGATCTTGAGGAATTCATCCAATTGTGTATCCGAATCGCTCAAAGACTTACAGAAAGGAGAAAGGAGAAGCTGGGAATACTTGAAAGTAATAGGGGCATGCATCTCTCTGCTAGTCCGTTTGTTCAGCAGGATTCAAGAGTCTCTCTGGGTTCTAACACTCCTGAGCCTATGCAGGTTGATGCAATCAAGAGATCCATCTCCATTCAGGAGAAAGAGAGAAGAACGTTCAGAGAATTTATGTCTTTATTGTGGGGATTCTGGTCATTATGCAATTAATTGTCCTAACAAGGTTAAAAGAACTATTGCTGTGACTGATATGATTGAGCCTGAACACATAAACTCTATAAGCCAGTCTGTCTCCCCACTGATTTCTGAAGAGAATAAAGTGAACTCCCTACTTTCTCAGTTTGTTATCCCTATTAAACTTGTATTTGAAGGCCATGAAATCTCCTGCTCAGCTATGCTGGACTCCGGGGCGGAGGGGAACTTTATGGATATAGAGTTTGCCAACAGCAATAATATTGAAGCAAGAGACACATTTACCCCTATTGATATGGAGACAGTTGATGGGTCACCCTTATCTTCAGGACCTGTTACACATAAAACGGTCCCCCTGAAACTGTTGTTTGAGGCTGACCATTGTGAGACCATCAGCTTTCAGCTGATTACATCACCCAAGTTTCCCATCATCCTGGGCATTCCTTGGTTCTCCACTCACAATCCTTCCATCAACTGGGGAGCACGGACTATAGATTTTACGTCCTCCCACTGTGAAAAACATTGCAAAAAACCTTGCCGACCAAGTTCATCACCGACCAAGGAAGCGTAAGGTGATATAGTGGCTACCCAGTCATATGACAACTTGCCCACACATTACCATGAGTTCCGGGACGTCTGTGACAAGAAGAATGCAGATCTATTACCCCCTCATCGCCCATATGATTGCCCCATTGAGCTGCTCCCAGGGCAGAAATACCTTTTGGCCGCCTCTTCAATCTGTCGGAACCTGAATTAAAAGTACTCAGGGTGTGGATCGATGAGAATTTGGAGAAGGGCTTTATTAGACACTCAACTTCTCCAGCGGGGGCAGCCCTGTTCTTCGTTGAAAAGAGAGACTCCACCTTGCGTCCATGCATTGACTACAGAGACATGAATAAAATTACTATTAAAAACCGCTATCCATTACCTTTGATCTCTGAAATGTTGGAAAGACTTCGCTCTGCCAAGATCTTTACTAAGCTTGATCTACGAAGGGCATATAACCTTGTCCGCATTCGTCAAGGAGACGAATGGAAGACTGCCTTCAGAACTAGGTATGGGCATTTCGAGTCCTTGGTGATGCCGTATGGACTTTGCAATGCCCCTGCAACATTTCAACATTGTGTCAACGATGTTTTTCGTGATCTGCTGGACCAATTTGTAATTGCCTATCTGGATGATATCCTTATCTTTTCTAATAATTGGGAGGAGCACCGCAAACATGTTTGCACAGTCTTTGAAAGATTAAGGAAGAATAGACTCTACATTAAATTGGAAAAATGTGAGTTTGAACAAACCCAGATCCAGTTTTTAGGCTATATCATTTCTCCAGAGGACGTGAGCATGGATCCTGAGAAAATCAAAGCAGTGGTAGATTGGTCAGCACCTGGAAATGTTAAGGAAATTCAACGTTTCGTTGGATTTGCCAACTTTTACAGAAAATTTATAAGAAACTTTTCTAAAGTGATAGCTCCAATCACACAGCTTACAAAGAAAGGGGTACCCTTTGTGTGGACCTCTAAGGCACAAGCTGCGTTTGAAAAACTAAAAACTCTTTTCACTTCTGCACCAATTTTGGTACATCCGGATCCTGAACTACCCTTTACAGTGGAAGTGGATGCCTCCAATTCTGCCGTGGGAGCGATCCTGTCTCAGCGAAGTGGTGAAAAGATGCAGCTTCATCCTTGTGCCTTCTTCTCCCGTTTGATGTCCTCAGCCGAAAGAAATTACGACATTGGGAATAAAGAGCTACTGGCAATTAAGGAAGCCTTTTCTGAATGGAGGCATCTGCTAGAAGGAGCTAATCATCCTGTAACTGTCTCACAGACCATAAAAATCTGGAATTTATTCGTTCGGCCAAGAGATTGTCTTCTAGACAAGCTCGCTGGACTCTATTCTTTTCCAGATTTAATTTTGTTATATCATATCGACCGGGATCGAGGAATGGTAAGGCCGATGCCTTATCAAGGATGCTGTCCGAGCCTCTCCTGGAGGGCAACTCCGAATATTCCATCCTAACGCAAAAGAACTTCCTAGGGGCCACAAGTGCAAAGACGTTCTTGAGTCTTCTCAAAGAGGGGTATGAGAATGACCCACTTCTCAATGATCCTCCTAGGGACATGAACCTGGTGTACAAAAATGGCTTTTGGGTTCAAGGACATCATCTTTATGTACCTGAATCTGTTCGGGTGAAAGTTCTCAAGTTGGTTCATGATTCCAAACTTGCTGGGCATTTTGGAGTTACTAAGACCGAAGAACTGTTGTCACGTTCCGTTTGGTGGCCGGGGTACAAGAAAGGATGTCAAACGCTATGTGGCCTCATGCTTGACCTGTGCACGCAATAAAACTCCCCGAGCCTCTCCTTTGGGGTTGCTTCAGCCACTCCCTGTTCCATCGAGACCATGGGGGTCTATTTCTATGGATTTTGTGGTAGATTTACCTCCCTCAAAAGAAATGACCACCATTTTGGTGGTGGTGGACCGTCTCACAAAGATGGCCCATTTTGTTCCAGTGAAGGGGGTGCCCACTGCTGAACAGACTGCAGAACTAATGGTTCGAGAAGTATTTAAACTGCATGGAATCCCTGATGATGTGGTGTTTGACAGAGGTGTGCAGTTTACTTCAAAATTTTGGAAAAGCTTTTGCTCAGCCTTGGGTGTTACAATCAATCTGTCCTCTGCTTTTCATCCCCAGTCTAATGGTCAGACTGAGAGAACTAATCAAACAATGGAGCAGTATCTTCGATGCTTTGTCACCTATCTTCAGGATGACTGGGTGGACTGTCTTCCCACTGCAGAGTTTGCATACAACAATTCTAAACATAGTTCCACCTCTCAAAGTGCCTTTTACTTAAACAACGGTTATCATCCAGTTTTTATTCCTGATCTCCCTATCACAACTCCAATTCCTGCTGTTACCAACAGACTAACTACATTGCAGGAGATTCAGGAGAAATTGATTGAGACTTTGAGAAGCTCAGGAATATTACAAAAAGGCTGCTGACAGACACCGGAGAGCACTTCCTACGTTTCATGTGGGTGACAAAGTTTGGTTATCAACGAAGAATCTGAAGGTGCATGTGCCATCTGCTAAGTTGGGTCAAATGTTTGTTGGTCCTTTTCAGATTTCTGCTCAGATCAACCCAGTTACCTTTCGCTTAAAACTTCCTGACAGTATGAAGATTCACCCGGTTTTTCATGTATCGCTTTTCAAATCATTTCATGAAAATCCTTTCTCTGGAAGAATTCTTCCACCTCCTCCACCTGTTGAGGTACAGGGCAAAGAAGAATATGTGGTGGAGAAGATTCTTGATTCTAGGATGTTTAGAGGAAAGTTGCAATATCTGGTCCAATAAGAAGGATATGGGCTAGAGGAAAATTCTTGGGAGCCTGAGGAAAATGTTCATGCTCCTAGACTAACAAGAGAATTCCACCAGAGGTTTCCCCACAAGCCTGGTCCTAAGATGTCCAGGGGACGTCCTGTGAGGAGGGGAGTACTGTCAGAGCCTGGAATCAAACCTGGGCCTTCTGCGGTGAGAGACAGTGTTTCTTCTCACTGAGCCACCTGGAATGCTGGACAGCTCCCTTGACAATTCTTTGGATGATCCTGCCTTTGCCCTGTTTTGTCTTGAACCTTGAACTCCTTGCTCCTCCCATAAACTTCCTATAAAAGCCATGTCTCTGCACTTCCTGGTTGCCAGATTATTGTGCCTTACCAGCCAATATCCCGCTTACTGTTCCTGCTGCTGTCTTCATCTACGTTACCGACCTTTGGCTTGCTACTGACTACGATTCTGCATCATCCTATCTACTACCATTGGTGACCGACCCTTGGCTTGTGACTGACTCCGCTTCTGTTTGATCCCTGAACTGTTTGATCCGCTTTTTGGTTTCCAGCCTACTCATTCCCTGGTGGGGTGATCCTGAGATCTGCGACCTGGCATTCACACGCAGCCAAATCCATCTCCACCATTAGGAGCTCTGGGGAAGACCGGTGGATGCTTAGACCCCGCACCTCAGGTGAGCCTGCGTTATTCCCAGGGTGGGCCGCTGGTGTACCAATCCTGCTGGTTTCAGGTAAGCCTTACAACTGCTGTAGCAACTGGTCTCTGAACCTGACCTTATATCGTGACACAAGGATTTACTAGATTTACTAGATTGAAAGTGGATTAAATCATTGGTATAACTTTGCACTAGGTCCAACTCACTGTTATATAACTTTACAAATGCACATTTTAAAAGAAAGTCACTTGCGAATTCAGATAAGGAATTCAAATCTTTGGTGCTGATGGAACAGTGAACTGGTAGATCTTTATTGAAGAAGATCTTTGGTCATATCATATCCTTTCATTTTATAACATCAGCATTGTTATCACAATACTAGCAATAGTTATTTTTGACAATCCAATATAAGCTTACTTGAAAATTTTCCTTTCATGTTTTGAGTTCTACCTGTCTGATGGTCATCTCTTTCTTCAACTTACTGGATTCCCTGCATGCTTTGCAGCTTCTCCTGTTTTTCTTCAATCTTTAAGGGTACATACCCCATGGTACCTTGCTTCATTGAAGCAGTGATTCCTGTACTGATTCTGCCTACTGAAACTTCTCCTCTCAGCACATCTGTAGTTCAGAAGGCAGGCTCTGTGAAATGTGTAACACAGCAGTGCCTACTCACTGGGCATTGTGAATACATGTCACTGAATTCAAGGAAGTAAATGTGTGAAGATCTTTACAGAGTAAGTTAACAAACCTCAAGATCCTTCACATTAATAGGAGTAGACTAAAATAAAGTACAATGTTGAAATTAATATATTATTTTTATTTTTGACCATAGGTACACTTTAAAATAAGAGACAATGCTTAATATAGGAAGGAAACATATCTTCCAGTGAAATCTATATTTTTGCAATACGAAATAACTGAAATTCGAAAACAGTTCTTTTCATATTTTCCAGTGAAATCTCTATATTTTGCAATACGAAATAACTTCTGTCAAATTCTATTAACTCTGCACTTAAC